ATGTGTATCGACTGCTGACGACCTCGAAGATAGGACGAGAACCAATCCAATGCTCCAGATGACATCCTAAGATGGGAGAGAATGGATAAGAGGATGTCGTGATTGACGTTATTAAAAGCGTTTGAGAAGTCTATCAGAACCAATACCGTAACCTTTGTGTCCTCCATACCTGCTCTAATATCGCCAATCACTTTAAGGAGTGCGGTAGTAGTGCTGTGGCAAGGTCTGAAACCGGACTGCAATGTACTCAACAAATGTTGTGAATGAATAAAGTTGGACAGTTGTTTGTGCGCACAAGCTTCTAAAACCTTAGATAGGAAAGGAAGTATGGATATAGGTCGGAAGTGAGTAACAAGGGTAGGATTCGGTATTTTAGGAAGAGGAATGACATAAGCCTTACGCCATTGGGAGGGAAACATGTTGGTACTAAAGGAGAAATTAATGATGTGGGTTATGGTGAGAATAAGATGGTCTAAAGCTGTGGTAATCATGCGACGGGTGATTTTGTCATAACAGCATTAGATCTAATGGATAGGATAATCTTTTTAATATCATCTGAAGTCATTGGAGAAAATTGGAAGGGGTCAATGTCTGGTTTAGGTAACCCAGCTATAAATTCAATAGTGAGACTTTTGACTTGATGATCAATGCCGGCAGATGCGCTGAAATGCCTGTTAAGGTCATCTTAGGCAATGGTCCCCTGGAAGTCTTTATTCTTCTCCCTACCAATACCCAGAGTCTTAAGGAACTTCCAGATATTCGCTGACGAAGCGGAGGTTATATTTTCGAGAATATGGCGGCGCTTAGCGTTCCGTACCATCTGATTACACCGATTCCTCGCAACCTTAAATGATGTCCAGTTTTCCTCCGTGCGGCGTCTCCTGAATTTTGCCAAGGCCCGATCCCTACGCTTCATCGTCATCCGAACTTCACTCGTCATCCAAGGTGCTGGAGGACGTTTCAACTTGAATTTCCTGACGGGAGCATGAGTGTCATAAAGTGCCTGGAGTTGAGCGTTATTTGTTATTTAGTGTTTCTTCAGGTTTAAATGTGTAATAATGGTGGTTTATTAACTGTTTAGTATCTGTGAAAGTACACAATTGTGCGAAAATGAAACAAAGCCGCTGGACGTAGCTTCTTGCGATCCTCCAAAAAGTCTTAATAAATGACCACCATTTTACTGAGTTTATGTTTCATGACATATCATCTCATTTGTAAATTTAATTCGTTTTAAAAAAATTATGTTGTTATATCGCGATTAGTTTCCTTCGGTTTTTTGTTATTCATAAACTGTAAATAATTAAAACGGCCAATTATTAAAATCTTATTACTTGACGCTGGCTAATGCACAAACCGTGCCGGAGCCAAAAAATAAAGAAAAAGAAGAACAGCCAGCGCTGGGTTTTTTTAATTGCTTATATGGGTGGACGAGCTCACAGCCTACCTGGTGTTAAGTGGTTACTGGAGCCCATAGACATCTACAACGTTAATGCGCCACCCACCATGAGATATAAGTTCTAAGGTCTCAATATAGTTATAACGGCTTCTACGCCTTTCGAACTGAAACGCATTACTGCTTCACGGCAGAAATAAGTGGGGCGGTGGTACCTACCCGCGCGGACTCGCAAGAGGTCCTACCACCAGTAAAATGGGTATTAGTGGAGAGCGTCGGTGACGTCACGAGATGACCTGACGAGTGCGCGTTGTTGTGGGCAGGCCGGTGACGCGCGGCGTGTCTTCGCCCGTGGCAGACATGTACCTGGAGGTGCCTGCGGAGGGGCGCGGGGGGCTGGCGCCGCGCACGCAACATTGGCCGGACGCGCCCGCGCTGCACTTTCATTCAACTGGTCATTACGACATTTTTTTTTTTTTTTTTTATTGTTTAAGTGGATGAACGAGCTCACGGCCCACCTGCTATGGTTACCGGAGCCCATTGACATCTACAAAGTAAATGTTACCACTCACCTTAAGACATGAGTTCTAAGGGCTCACTCGGTCAATACAGTACAAATAACGTATAGCTTTAAATACCTATTTATTTCAATTTAAATATTGTTCGAATTGAAAGTCGAAATAAAATCTACTAACTTAGTTTCAAAATTCTTAACAGGTAGCGTTGTTGCCAGTATATGTACTTTGGTTCATCATCTATCTATTACCGTTGTTTTAACGCTTGAAACCATAGATTCATTAAATTTTATCTATAACTAGCTGTTACCCCCGGCTTCCCTTGCGTGGTCAAGTATTTTTTTCCTGTGGGAATTAGTTGTTTTTTTTGGTATTGGCATATCCCTATATGTTAATTCCCTGACTTAATAAAAAAAATTATTTCTATACATTGCTACGTTTCGACAATGACAAACACACATGCAGACAAACTAAAATATTTCATATTTATAATATTACGAAATAATTTCAAAACGCAGATTCTAGGCACTTTCTATTAATATAATAACGCATAGTTATAAATCTTAATTTATATGATGATTCACAGATTCCCTACTGTTCAATGAAGTGACCGACGACGATGTTGTTGACGCCGATGGATATTTCGATCTGCAATGCAATCAAGTTAGCAATTTTTAACGAATATTTGTAATCGACATAAATAATTTGCCTCACACGGTGTATGCGATGTTGAAAATTTGTGATAATTTTAGACCAACCATATAATTGTAATAATAACTGGAAATATATATTTTTTGAAATTCCTTTCGAACGATTATTCAACATTGATGCGGATGCAACATCGCTCATAAAACATCGATATAATAAACATCGATCTATATGAACGATATATCGATGTTCATTTCGATGTTTTTGTCACCATTTACTGTTAAATTACATAAACGATTTTTTTCGAATTCACACCAAGGGATTTTTCAAACAAACCAAAATACTCCAAGATTAGCATTCAAATCGAAAAAGTGAAAATAAATTTTAAAATTTATAGACCTGTGTAATCAATTTTTATATTATAAATTTTTATAGGCGGATAAACAATAAGAAGCAGTTGGGATAAAATATACATATATTATATATAGTGCGTGCGTGCATTCGTGAGTGCGTGCGAGCGTGCATGGGTGCGTGCGTGCGTGTGTGTGCGTGCGTGTGCGATGTTGCTTCGCTCTGCAGTTCGATGATTAGAAACGTGGAAACTGAATGGCATAAAAAAATTCAGGTTTAAAATTTACCTGAAGAAGACGGTACGCATAGTATAATATAACATAAGAACAGTAATCGAACTAGAATCGCGTCATGTTTCCGCAGGTGTTCATAGGCATGGTGACGATGCAGTACCAGGCGCAGAGCGACATGGTGGAGCTGATAGAGCGGCTAGAGCGGGCCTGCATACGCTTCGTCCACTTCAGCAAGGAGAACGAGCTCCGGTCGAGGGTGTTCAGCGAAAAGATGGGCTTGGAGTCCGGCTGGAACTGTCACATATCGCTCATGAGCGACACCGAAGCCAGGTGGGTCTTGCACACAGCCTTGCTGGCCATCGGTGGCAGGACACTTGGTAAAGTACACTTTGTGATGAGTCGCTGTTTAGGGTAATATTGAAAATAAAATTATTTTAAGGTAGTACAATTTGTAATGTTTTTTAATTAAAAGTGATTTCAATATTCAATAATTAAAATTCATTAATTAAACTTAACAATGGGACTCGGAAGTACACTCTTTCAATAAAATAAAAATTTGAAAATCAATATACAAATGACGGAGAAGGAAGTGAACATTCATAAAAATAATACATTCAATCGATTGTACAGACTCCTCTTTTTTTTAATTGGTAAAAGTGATCGCTCAAAGTGTACTTAATCATGTTTTTAAAACTAATATAAAGAACGGTTTGCAATGAGAGATTTGCTTTTTTATAATAACACTATAAACAACTACGTATAACTTTTTTTTTCATTTTATATATATGAGGCCGTCAGCGCAAAAGTGACCTAAGCTTACCATATTTAGTAAGGAGGCAATTAGGTTTGAATTTTCATGAATTTAAATTTGAGTAGGCAAAAAACAATACGCGCCAAAATAATGCTTACAAAGCTATCTTTTATCTATGGGTGAAACTATGAATAGGCCGGTTTTGCATCAAAATTTATTATATTTTAAATAAATTCCAATATAAATAATATAAGCTTGAATATAAAAATTGTGGGTTAGGCCATTTATGCGCTGTCGGCCTCATGTAATTATCGATTATGTTTTCCTGAGCTGATCATAAGATATGAAATTCGTGATCAATTGAATGTTATTCACAGCATATTATTATGTCGTTCAGTGACTAAATTTTATATCTCACATTGCATTTTGTTCGGTGTTGCTATAGCGTTTTTCGTCGGTGTTGCCGCATTTAAAACAACAATTTGAAATAATTGGCGACTCATTCTTTCGTATCTCACTAAAATAACTAAATCAATTCGGTCTAAACACCACCGGTATTGACCGTCTGCTGTTTTGTTTTTTAACGTTATTTTTTTCTTTTCTTTAACGATCATCACAAATTAATCCTCGTCACGACACGTACACGCCACATATGTTTGTCTCCCTTCCGGCAATACAAAACTGTTTCTTAACTTCTCGATGCGTAGGTAGATATAGATGTGTTTTTTTTTTTTTTTCGTAAATTTTGCCATTCTTTATACTATTTTTTTTTCCATACCAGTTGGCTTCTTTGATATCCGAATTTATCGAGATGAAATTTTTATTCTTTGTTAAAGATCCAAAACGTCTATTGACGCAATATAATAAAACAAAACATGAAATTAATTTGTACAGTAAAATCAATCAATGATGAATAAAAAAATCTATGTGTTTACGCATTAGCTAACGACACAAACGTGACCGTTCGAGAAGGTTCTACGCTTTAACAGTAACCAAGAAAAGTGTGTCTTATAACAATGCGAATAAAGTACGAAATCTTAAGACGGCACGACTATGTCTCTAAGACCAGTATTTTCGACAGCAAAAGCGCATCGCCGCTGTCCTCGCAGAATATCGCGCAGCCAAAGGAACCTAACATCGAGAGGCGGCCCTCTAGGGGCTTCGAAACTTTTGACGCTCTCGGCTTTTGTCATAGGTTTGTTTCTATAACCCTTCTAGAAAAACACGTTTACTGTTTTATATTACGTTTCTCAAAATCCGGTGCTAATTTTTTTCTATTAAGCTAAACTACGTTTAAACATTTTAACAAATATTATAAGAACAAAATTATAGTTTTTATTCTGTTTATTTTCTTGAAAAAATTATTCATCAAAATATTTGGTCCCTCATGGCATATTTCGACCACCTCGGATGTGGATGGATGCAAAGCAACCAACTTATTTTTAGACATCAAACGAACCAAGTAAATGTGGACCCATCGCATACTCCGCTAGCGGTCAAATAACGCACCTAACTATACCTGATACCTTAGAACTTATGTCTCAAGGTGGGTTGCGCATTTACGTTGTAGATGTCTATGGGCTCCAGTAACCACTTGGGTGGGCTGTGAGCTCGCCCACCCATCTAAGCAATAAAAAAAAACCTGTCATTGATTATTGCTAAATTAATAACACTTATTACTCCATAAGCAGAGCCTATAAAGGGAAGAAATATTAGTCTGTTTAGTAAATAACTAAATCAGAGGCATTTTAGACACAAAAGAACCTTTAAGATCGAAGTGTCTGTCGGTTTAGCCCACCGGTCCCTCAACTACAAGGTAACGTGCCATATTAGGGCAGACAGAGAACGCGCTACATAACTGCTCTATGCGAGAAAGAAAAAGAGCATCGAATTTACAAAAAAATTAAATCTTTTTTTTATTTTTTATTGCTTAGATGGGTGGACGAGCTCACAGCCCGCCTGGTGTTAATTGGTCACTGGAGCTCATAGACATCTACAACGTAAATGCCGCCATCCACCCTGAGCTTGTTCTAAGGTCTCTTTATAGTTACAATGGCTCTTCAAGCCGAAACGCATTACTGCTTCACAGCAGAAATAGACAGGGTGGTGGTACCTACCCGTGCGGACTCACAAGAAGTCCTACCATCAGTAAAAGCTCTCAAAACTTAATCAAGTCGGATGTTAAAATTACTTTTTTAATATGTTGGTAGTAGTTTAAAGCCTGTTCGTTTTAATAAATACTACATCAACCGACTATCCTATTGGCTTAATTTAGCAAGTAAAGCCATTTAGCCACACTATTTAGCCATTAAAAATATAGACAATTGAAAATTGGATTGAAACATTCATAATAACCGACGGTGGCCGAACGCAAGATATTAGACAGATGCCTGAAACTCGTTAACAACAATTTCAAATATATATTTTTTTATATAAAAGTTCCGAGTGTATCAGTCTACCCATCTACTTCACTTCACTTCGCTAAAATATCTTCCCATTGTCATTTACCCCCAAAATAACGTTATTTATTACGAATAATTTAAAAGTAGACGTAATATAAAGCAAGCGACGTGTAATTAAATACCTTAGTTTAGTATTTTATTTTGATCACATTTTATTATTTACGATTTAGCGAAACCTGCAGTGCGTACATTAGAACCCTGTACATTTCTGTAAGCGCTATCTGTCAATGACCATACCTTGCATGCGACCTTAAAATGTTATCAAAATTGTTTATTTTAACTACATACATACTTTCATTAACGCATTTCAATTAAAGTGATTGTTTAATTGTTTTTACGTCAATTAATCAGATGCCATTCCGAGATTCAGTTGACTATTAAATATACATATATCGAGGGATGAAAAGGCTATTTGATATAAGCGACATTTCGCTCAAATGGCAACATTTATTTTTGCAATTAAAGGTGCGTTTTATTTCGTATTAGCGGCCCACTCCGGCTCCGCTCGGGTCTTTAACAAAAATTTCAACGATATTTGAGGTTGTTTTATTTTTTTAAATAAAAGAACGCTTATTGCGTCATAACTTTATTAGTTACACATATGCTGTCGCGACACTTTTTGTAAATAATAATGTGTTCTACAAAGTCGTAGTGCATTATTTTATTCTATCGTCAATAGTTTTCGCAGGGCACGCGATATAAAAAATATTTTAGTTAATTTTTTTACACCTTGGGTTATATTATTGGAGTTTTAGTAAGGATCCCTAATTTTTTTCAAAAAAGATTACAGCCTATGTCACTCAGGAATAGTGTAGCTTCCAAACAGTGAAAGAATTATTCAAATCGGTTCAGTAGTTTCGGAGCCTATTCAATACAAACAAACAAGCAAATCTTTCCTCTTTATAATATTATTTTAGTATAGATTAGCATCGACAGTTTTAATTGAACTTCAATTAAGTTTACTCCATTCAAATAGCTGAAGAAGTTCTTTTTGTTACGATATTTTTTCCAATAAGCTTAACTTTAACTGACTCTCTTGTAAAATTGAAACAATGTCCCTTAAGCCTTTCAACCCTCGATATTTATCATCATTAAGAAAATATTTTTATTTGAATAAAAATTAAAAGTGGGCGGCGTTTGGATAGTAATTTCAGAATACACTTTCAATTTGACATTTGCGCATAAACTAATTTAGTTTCTTGCTAAGTACATAAAGTTTATGTAAAAAAATTATATAAATCACATTGATTGAAATATGCCTATACATACTTGTATTTCAGCAATATTTTGTTTGCCGCTTCTTGCCGAATGAAGTAACCGTGTATTGTTTTAACACTTATCAAGTAACACAAGACATGTTCATGCTCATAATATGATTTGTAAAATGATATTAATGCTTCACATTCACACACGCTTTATATTAACTGAATGTTAATAAGGTTATTATTACTTAAATTTTATCTTTTTTCAATAATTTTTTTATGAATACATGACGATTTGAAACTGTAGCTCTGGTGCCTATAACCCACAACATAAAAAAACATGCTCAGTTAAGTTAATTGAACGTTGGTCTAGGTTTTGTTAGGGCAACTTGCAACGTACCTTCGAAAATTAATAGAGGAACAATAAGGAATTATAAAAATGGGTAGGAAAACTACTACAACATGTTTATTTTTATTTAAATAAAATTGCATAGATTGGTGGACGAGCTTACGTTCCATCTCATGTCAATGTGTTACCGGAGCTCATGGACTTCACCAGGTAAATGCCGTCATCCAACCACAGACCTGAGTTCTAAGTCTCTATAGTATAACTGCTGCTCCACCCTTAGAACTGGAAGGCATTACTGCTTCGCAGCAGAAATGGGCAAGAATTGGGCAAGAAGTTCTACTGCCGTTATTAATATAATAGGGATGTAGCTAGGGCGGCTTATCATAATAATTCTCGAACTAGGTACGTTCGAAAGTAAAAGAAAACTTATATTCGTCATTAAAAGTAAATGAGCTTAATCATAATTTATAAATTATAATTAACTACACACAGTTGTAAAACTTGTAAAAGTTATATTTATCTAATACTTTTCGTTTAGCATTTAATTTTATCATTATTCGATTTTGTTTTTACAAATGTAAATGGTCAGTGATATTGAACGCGCCATGAAATAATGTGCTTAAGAGTAATGACATTAAATTTGTAACGAACATTAGCAATAGTATGGCAACATCGAAAGCGTTGTCTATGTCGGCGCCGGGAGCGATCAATCTAGATCACACTACCGTCAAATTCGACAACGAGGTCAAGAAAGCGAGGCACTCCATCACAACTGGAATCAAGGTAATGATCTCCTATTCGACGCTTGAAAGGCAAACGTGACTAAGCGACAATACGTGAACTTTACAGTGGACTAATTTAAAGTTGAAATACCTGAAAAAAATTATATTTTAACGAATCTAACTGTAGGATTGAAAGGATTTTAATAGACCTAGAAATATATATTTTTTGCGCATCGAATATGGTTATTGCCTATCATTTATGTATAAAGCAGTTATTGTCGCTTAGTCACGTTTGCCTTTCAAGCGTCGTATTGTACAGTTTTCTTTTCTTTACCTTATCCTACTAGGTGGGTTCGGCACAGGAAATTTTTCTCTTCCATTCTCTTCTATCAGCCGTCAGCTCAACACGCACTGCTCTCTCTCTCATATCGTCATTCGAAGGTTTGAAGGTTTCGGTTATTCACACACTCCATCCATGTCTTCTTCGGTCGACCTCTTCCTCCTCGACATCTCCTAGTCACATGCATCTTCTCTCTACGCATCACATCCTATTGTACAATTGTATTAGTTCAATTATACCTCTTGGTTGATTTTCAATATTTAGGTGTGTAATAAAATATACAGTCACCCTGTGTCTCTCTATATACTTTATGCCAGACTAAATAAATACCGGGAAAGTTGTTACTGACTACTGAAATACCTAAGTAATACCTAATAAATTTTAATCATATTGATAATTTTATGGCACTTGATTTTAGAAACTCAAAAATTGGTTATGATCGATAATTGAAATTTAAAAAGAAATGCATAGACGTAAAAATGTGTTGCTCATATTTTAAACATGTAACATGGTAACGGAATCAATGGAGAATTTTATTTGTAAACTACCTGACCCGGTAGACTTCTTAGTGCCTCAATCGATAAATAAAAGACCTAAACTTTTGTATAAAATAAACATAAAACAAACAAATCCGTCCGATGGGGGACAACACATCAAATGAAAAATAAAATTGTTATTTTTATTTAATTCCAAGCATTTTCATATTTATCTACATTTTAAACCTTCTCTGGACTTCCGCAAATAATTCAAGACCAAAATTAGCCAAATCAGTCCAGCCATTCTCGAGTTTTAGCGAGACTGTCGAACAGCAATTCATTTATATATAATACATATATAGAAATTCAAGACCAAAGACCAAAATTAGCCAAATCGGTCCAGCCGTTCTCGAGTTTTAGCGAGACTAACGAAAAGCAATTCATTTTTATAAATATAGAAGATATAATAGTCGAATCCGCATCATTTATGAGCACAGATGCAGCGTGGCAGTATAGCGACGACGCATCCGTCGGCGGACTCGGCTCTGGACTCGCGCGAGGAGCCGGAGTCCCCGGTGGACGCGTGCCGCTCGCTGTCCTGCCTCACCGACTCCACCGACCACTCGGCGCAGCTCAACTTCGACATGAGCAATAGGGTGCGTCTTTTAACTTGCTGTTATATATAACACTTTGAGAAGCACTGACAAAATACTACTACGAAAGCGATGTTCAAACTTTGGTATAATGTATCCTATAAATATTTTAAATACTTGAAATGTACTATCTACTGGTGGTAGGACCTCTTGTGAGTCCGCGCGGGTGGGTACCATCACCCTACCTATTTCTACCGTGAAGCAGTAATGCGTTTCGGTTTGAAGGGTGGGGCAGCCGTCGTAACTATACTTGAGACCTTAGAACTTATATCTCAAGGTGGGTGGCGCATTAACGTTGTAGATGTCTATGGGCTCCAATAATCACTTAACACCAGGTGGGCTGTGAGCTCGTCCATCATCTAAACAAACAAAAAAAAACTTTGAGAAGCACTGACGAAATATTACTATGAAAATAATGTATCCTATAAATATTTGAAATGTCCTCAGTAGCTAATTCTCCTTCCCCCACTTTGGTATTTTAAGTATTAGTGATATTGTGTTGTGACAGCACGCACGGATTTTTACAACCTATATGACGTTTAGTCAATCGGATAGAGGCTATTTCTATTTAGTCTCACCGGCACCCGCGTTGCCCATAAGCTTTTGTATTCACTAACTAATCTATATAGTGTAGTGCTCTATAATGTGAATACATTATAAAAAATTTGAGAACCGTTAACCTTTACGAACACGCTTCAAGCCAATAAACAATATAAGTTTTCTTCGAAACATGCCCACACTATACAGATTTTATGTTGGTACACGTAAAATTTTATCATCATCTAGGCTAAGTTGCCCCGCGGCATCGAGAACATCCGACCCCACATCGAGCAAGTGGACAACGTTCCGCTCCTCGTCTCGCTGTTCACGGACTGCACCGCGCGCTCCGTCCAGCTCATGATACAGATCATGCAGGTGAGGCGACGTACGTGACCCTCGAACCATAACACTAAACATACACAATATGTTGCTGATAACAGTACGCTGTGAATTTCAAAAACGTGAATATACTGGTGGTAGGGCATCTTGTGAGTCCGCACGGGTAGGTACTACCACCCCGCTTATTTCTGCCGTGAAGCAGTAATACGTTTTGATTTGAAGGGTGGGGTAGCTTGTAACTATACTGAGACCTTAGAACTTATATCCCAAGGTGGGTGGCTCATTTACGTTGTAGATATCTATGGGCTCCAGTAACCACTTAACACCAGGTGGGCTGTGAGCTCCTCCACCAATCTAAGCAATAAAAAAAAAATGTAACGAAAAAAAAGTTTCTTGTTGAAGCGAGTCTAGCGCCATCTGTCGTTTGTGGACAGTACTATACACCACTAAAGTTTCAATGACAACTGTAGAAACTTCAACTGTCACAGAGAAAAGGTGACGATTGAACAAATTTTCAAGTTCAAAGAAACTGAGAACAAAGGAAGTTCTTGCTCTGAGGAATTGTTTGAGATGATCTTCTCGTTTTGACCATCGCACCGTCCGCCATCGGAGTAGAGTTCATCCATACTACACGTAGCCACTGCGTTCATCCACAATGCTTTTCCAGAGATATTTTTGTCATGATCATCCGGCTTTTGAATGAGCTCCCCTCCACGGTGTTCCCCTCCACATTCTATGACATGTCCTTCTTCAAACGAGGTTCGTGGGGAGTACTTAACGCTAGGCAGCCGCTTGGCTCTGACCCTGGCATTGCTGAAGTCCATGAACAACGGTAACCACTCACCATCAAGTGATGATACTAGTTTGCCTACAAGGGCAATAAAAAAAAATCATACCTTTCCTTTACATACATGCTTACATAAAGATAATCATAGATTAAATGATGGTAAAAGATTAATTAATCGATGCTGTCAATCAGAACCAAGAGGTCGGTAGTGGCTTTGAAAGGACAATTTGTACTTCGACTTAATTGTAATTAATTAAAGCACTTATATGGTCGTGCTGATTTCGATTATTGTACGTTCAAATGTTCAGGATTACAGCGAGGTGGTTTGCGTGATGGGCTCCGCGGCCAACTGTCTCAACATGGAAATCTTCATGCAGGCCGACGCTAGGTACGAAAAATTTTTGTACAAAAATGTATTTAAACAAAAAAAACTTTCATTTCGATTGTAAATATTAGAGATTCCAACCCGAATGCCTTAAGAAAAATGTTTTTAATTGACTACTGTCGCATGCTCATATGAACATCAGCTGGTCACAAACGCCAGCGTCATCCATATAACTAGACCACTCTGATTTGTATCAGAAGATACAATTATTTTACAAGCCTTTTTTCCATACCCGTAATTTCTATCATGAATGTCCACTGCTGGTAAGGCATGCGGTAAACTCGCCCTGGGAGATACCAGCTTCCTATCACAGAGGCAATTCGCGTGGGTTCGAAGAGTACAATACCGATTTTTCTAATTCAGATTAAATATCTCTTTGATTTTTTCTCCTACGTATTCGCTAGTAAGCTAAGGGGTTATTCCAGCTACTCAAGGACAGGTAGGTGAGCTCATTGGCTCAGCTCGTTAACACTAGCCCTATCAAGAGGTCCGAGAGAACATCCGGCGAGAAACTCACTGGGCTGTGTCTATTGGATGGGATGGTCCTAACTGCACCAATAAAACCTCATAATAAATAAACGATTTCCAGCATCGCGGTTGAGCCTCTATATCCGGTGCTGTGCCAAAAGATGCAACCGTACTTGATTCCCGACTCCTGCATCGGTCCCATCGACCTAGCTAGAGCACTCAATTCGGTCCCCTGTTCTTTGTCGGTGAGTTCACTATGTACTTTTTAGGAAAATTAATCAATTGAATATACAGGGTGATGTTTTCGACTGGCTTCAGAAGTAAATAACATTTAAGATGAGAATAAACTCTTTGCTATTGTTTGCCTAGTATCACAGTAGTAGGCAGCGGCTTGGCACTGCATCTGGCATTTCTGAAGTCCATGGGCGACGGTAACCACTCACCAATAGGTGGGCCATATGCTCGTCTGCCTACAAGGTCAATAAAAAAAAAACATTTTCCATATTCTTATCATTATTATGGACACTGCCTGTTATAAAATAATACAGGGTGTTTTTTTTTTGAATCAACAGTTTAGAAGTCGAGAAAATGATTTTGATTTTTAATTTCGTTTTCATATTTCATATAAATATATTAGGCATTTTTCTCTACTCCCCATAGTTCCAGATAAGTAACCTCGTCCACTTGAAAATCGACTGTGTACTTTATACTTCATATTGTGCTTAGCGAGGCTTACCCTTTGTATAATGAAAGTAGAGCTTTACAAATTTAAAATAAGCTTTAGTCATATTTAAATATTTGAATATTTATTAATTTTACGCAGTATAAATACAAATATAAAAAAAAAGTGTTACCTTTATTTAGACATAGTTGCTTTTATTTATTTTAATTTATATTCCGGACGGCCACCGCTCAGGTTTCGGCCACCACGTGTGATTTTTAGACTTCTTACTCTCGTTGAAACGTGGTGGCTCGAGTATTGCCGCAGTGGCTGTCGCGGAACGGGTGCTGGGATTGGTTCGAGGAAAATAACGAAGGCTTCAGTATGGCGCTCACACGGTCCTCGTGGCTTGACCGGCGCAGGGCGTAGGAGCGAGTCTTTTCTTGTTCGGTTGGCGCTCTCCTCTTCTTCTGGAGAGGTCTTGACTCGTCGGCTCGCTGTCTCGAACTGAATTTGCAGTCGGGGTCGTCGGGGTCGTCGTACCCCCTTGCGGGGGCACGGAGCGGGCCTCGGGGAAACCCCTCTGCCCGGGCATGTAACTCCCCGCCTATCGAGGCAGGGGTGGTGCACTGCAGGACTGAGTGAAGTAGGCTTGGAGTTGTGATGTTGGGTGGGATCGCTTTTTCTTCTTTCTTCCTTCTCTAACTTCTTCGTCGTCAGCAGGGGGCGGCCGCTTCTCTCCACCATGTTTTTTTTTACCTAAACTAAACCTAACTTAATCTAACTTACATCTAAGTGACAGCAGCGCGCCGTTCCTGCACTCCGTGGAGTGCCGGGGCAGCGCGCGCCGTCACACCTAAACCTAAACCTAATCTAACTTAACCTAACATAACCTAATCTAACCTAGCATGGGGGAGAGAGCAAGCCGCACTCCTCGCTAGAGTCCTCCCCCCCCTCTCCCCATTGTTACAATTTTGATGGGAGGGAGGACTGTAGCGGGTATGAACACCCCATCCCAAAAGGGGGTGGGGGGTAGGGTCAAAGCCCCTAATGGAAATGAGGCTGCACCTACGGGGTGCAGCCGCGGTCCCCATACGGGAGACCCGCCAAACGGGCAAGAGGCGTGGGACTAGAGACTGATGAAACTCAGCTCCGAGAGGGGCGCTCATAGGTCCTCCCCGCCCTCACAGCCGGCGAGGAGCTTTAACTCCGAATGATCGTCGGGGGTACCAATAGCTCCCGCGGCAACGCCGTACCATCCGGTGGTCTGGCGTGCAGCGGGGCTATGTTGTGGAGATGCTCATGGGGCCCATTTTCGGCTCGCTCGTACATATTACGGGCGAGCCTAGTCACAAACTCCACGAGCGACTCCACACCTAGGTCCCGGGCAATAACGTCATTTCTGACGTACTGCCCGGCCCCGACGATAATGCGGAGGGAAAGACTCTGCTGGGCCTGCAACCTAGATCGCTGGGACGGCGACAACAGGTGATACCAGGCCTCAGCAGCGTATGTGAGGCGGGAACGGACGTATGTCTTGTAAATGGCGAGTTTGGTCCTGGTCGGAAGCCCGGACGCAAGCACCGGCCGCAACAAGAACCTGGCCGCGCGAGTCTGACCGATGACTCGGTTGACGTGCGCGACCATGCTCAAGGAGCGGTCGATGTCGCATCCGAGATACCGGACCGTGGTCCTGAACTCGACATTCACACCTCGGAGGCTGAGTTTCTTTGGGACGACTCTGATACGGACCGGACCGTAGAGTAAGGCCGCGGTCTTTCCCACATTGACCGCGACTCTCCAACGGTCCAGCCACTGGGGCAGTAAATCCAAAAGCCTCTGCATCCTCATAATGGCTGCAGAGGGGAACGGAGAGGACGAGAAGTAGGCCGAGTCGTCAGCGAACAAGGCCAACTTCACGTCCTCCTCCCACGCCCGAAGGTGACCCTCCAGGGTGGGGATGTCATTGGTGTAGAGGGCGTATAGGATAGGTGATAGGACACTACCCTGGGGAACCCCGGCCGTAATGGGACGCACGGAAGACCGTGCGCCCTCGACC